GGGTGCAATCCCTGTGATCTCTTGCCCTGCTCCCAGCCCCTTCCAATGCCCTAACTTCCTGTCTGGGATTGGTAATCCTTCCCAGGAGAGGGCTAGAAATGGCAGGCAAACTTATGGGGGTGGGAGGGAATGCCTGGCTCATCTTCAGCCCCTCACAGCCCCAGTCGGATGTGTATTGGGAATCCTGGTGTTCCAGGTCCCTCCCTGATGGGCTCCAGATGTGCTTACATCTGGGAAGGCCATCCCAGGAAACTGATGCTCCCGCCCACAGCTCCCACCCCGGATGGATCTCTCCTCCAGCCCCCAGGTTTTTGAGCACAGAAGCTTCAGGCACTCCTTTGCTCTCCAGAGGTAGTTCCAAGGCAGCAAGGGGGAAAAAAAGGATGGAAAGTAATGGGGGTGGGGTGGGTGAGCAAATAAAATGAGGTCAACGTTTAGAACACCCCAGAGAATCATATTTCCCTTTTAACTTCCTATCTGGGGTTGTTACATTTTGCTGTAGAATTCTGTTCCAGAAAAAAAGAACAGAAAAACTGAAGAGGTTTTGGAAGCAAAGACTCTAGCTGGGATGGAGGAAATTCCTTCCCATTGATCTGCTTGTTTTGCACCCCTGGGTCTTATATTTTTTTCACCCCAGCGTCTCCTTAGCCCTGCCCCCCTCCCATCAGTGTCCTTCCCCTGATTCCTGTCCCTCTGTCTCTCCCTTACCTAGCCCAGCTTGGGAAATCTCCCAGTTTGGTTCCTTACAGAGCTATCTGGTCACAGTCTCAACCCCTAGGTTCAGAGCCCTGGAGCACCAAGAGAACTCAAGCATCCTATCCCCCAGGACTGGTCTTGTCACCCTAGCAAACATCATCTACCCCTTCTGTGCTCTGAGCAAAGTGGGTGGGGAAAGGGGAGGGTAGTCTGGGTTTACTTTAGGTCTAGGGCATGGGGGAGGGGCTTCTTCCCACCAGACAGGGAGTGGGGGTGGTGGGTGGTGACTCATAGATGATGGAGCCATCAGTTCCTCTAGGCTGAGACCTGAGTCAGGGCAGTGACAGAGCCCAAGGGTTCAGATGGCTTGCTCCTGTACTTTCCAATTAGTCTCTCTTAGACACACACACTCAGAGCAATGTCTCAGTGTTACCAGGCTCTGGACCCAGACTCCTGGGATAACTGGGCTCCTACTCTATTTCCAGAGATCCGCCCCCCCACCCCACCGCAGCTCCGTAAGTTTCCTAAGTATATCCCTCCTTCTTTCCCTCTCTGAGAAGGACTCCCACTCATCACCCCACCACAGGGCAGAGGGAGTGGGACCCCCAGGCCAAAGCCAGGAGCTACAGACCACCTAACCCCTCTGGCCCCTTTGTCCAGCAAGCTCTTCCCAGTCTTGTTTGTATCAAGTGACATTAAGAACATGGTATTTGCACAGTCCCCCACAGTAAGCAAGAGCCACCAGCCTGGGGTTTCTGGCAGTTCCAGGTCTCTCTAGACTACAAGGGTTGAGGGGATCGGTACCTGTCTCAGCACACCTACAACCACCAGTGAGAAAGTTTTATTTCATGAAGACCTCACTCAGCCCAAACCACCCAACCAGGCTTCTTACAGACCTGACAAGGCTTGAGTCTATTCCTTGAAATCAGGACATCCAGCCTCAGTGTTCGTAGAATTTCCAGGCATTTGAGACTCTAAAAGAAACAACTGGGTCTCACCCCAGAGAAATCACATGCATACACACAAGAACTTCCATCCAGTTTCAGAGGACTAATGGATTGTGCACCCAGTGTTCCTACCACCCCACCCTGAGGACGGTGGACCTAGGTTAAAGATCCCTGCTCCAGAATCTTCCCCCTATAGAAACCCAGCCCAGTTTAGAGGGCTAAACTGACAGTACAGTGGGAAAAGCAATGACTTTGTTATCAGTTGGGATTGAATTTGGATTCTACCTCGGCCCCTTTCTTTCTCTCTTTCTTTTTTTAAAGATTTTACTTATTTATTTGACAGAGACACAGCGAGAGAGGGAACACAAGCAGGGGGAGTGGGAGAGGGAGAAGCAGTCTTCCCACTGAGCAGGGAGCCCCACGCGGGGCTCGATCCTGAGATCATGACATGAGCCGAAGGCAGATGCTTACCGGCTGAGCCACCCAGGCGCCCCTCAGCCCCTTTCTTTCTGTTGATCTTGGCTCAGTCGCTTCACTCGTTGGGCCTCAGTTTCTTGACAGTAAAATGAAGAATATGGTACATTCAAATGCTGGATAGTTGGGAAGATTAAATGGGATAAAGGCAGGTTAAAGGTCAAGTGCAGGACGAGACACATAGCACATGGGAAATAAACCATTAATACTGCTCATCCCTCTCCCACCCTATTGAAACTAAGCATGGTCCCTGGCTTTAGAACTTACACCTCTACCCTGACCATCTCTGAAAATTTCCTCTTCTTGTTTTAAGGCTCCAGCCTTCAGGGCGGGCAGGTTGGTGACAGCAGGAGCCCGGTGAGTGTCCTGCCCTTGCCCTTCACTCCTTCTGCCCCTCCGTCAAGCGGACTGTGATTAATAATAGTCAGTCATCACAGCAAATCATTCCTACTGAGCGTTGAAGGGACAGAGGGTACCAGAGAGGTCAGATCTGAGAGACAAAACAGAGACACTTGGAGACATACAGGCTGGGCCAGAGACAAGCTGAGAGATACACAGAAGAGAGAAAGCTGAGAGAAGACAGCATTTAGAGGTCAGCTGGCTAAGAAGACAGGGCATTGGGTTTAGAGTCAAAACACTTAAGTTCTAGACTCACCACTGACTGCCTAGCCCTGTGACCTTGGATAAGTCACTTCATCTGTCCACACCCATTTCCTCTTCTGAAAGAGAGGGTTGGCTGATAACCTCTAGGTTAACCCCCTCCTGGCAGACCTTTTAGGCCCCTCCTAGGCTGACCTTCCAGACCTGGAGGGCTGTACAGAAGCAGCTCCAACTAGGAGGGAACCCTAAGCCAGGCCTGACCCGGAAGCAGAGGAAAGCAGAGCCAGGCAAAGGCAGACATGGTGAGAGGAAAGGCAGGAGGTGTTGGGGCCACTGGGAGAGGACTTATAAGGGCAGAGAGAGCCAAGAGAGGAGGGATATTGGGGAGAGTAGAAAAGCCAGCCAGAGAATGACTAAGGGGCTCCCGGTATAAACAGGAGCGGGGAATGGACAGGGAGGGGGCCTGTTTGAGTTGGCCAAGGCTGGGGGTGTGGAGTGAGGAGGAGGACTGGGGCAGGACACTCTGTCCCCTGCCCCCCACCAAAGCTCCTGGGAGGAGCTGAGTCACATACCTCCCTCCCTATGCCCCTCCCCACCCCCACCCCAAGCTCCCAAATCCTGGGAAAATCTAAGAGTTTATGCCTGGGCTGAAAAAAACGAGAGAGCTGGGTTCAAACACTTGTGCTTTGCTGGGCTACACAGCAGTCAGGCCACAGCCCCTCTCCTGCCAAAAGGGGTTCTCAGCCCTTGGCTTGAGCAGTTTTCACCTAGAGGTTACCTTTGAGGCAGCGGCATGCTTAGATTCTGACCCAGAGATTCCTTGGGTTCCTCGCCTAAGAAAGGCTCAGGACCTACAGATGTGAGAGTGGGATGGGGGCCAGCATCACCCCACAGTCTGACCAGCTGGCCTCTCCCTTGGGCTGCACTGGCTCTGGAGAGGGGCTTTTTAAAAAACAGCTGGGTGATTTGGGACAGGAAGGAGAGTAGCAGAATGAGGAGGAAGACTCCGTGTGGAAGGAAAAAGCATTGATTCTGGGCACTTTCATTCTGAGTACCCCAGGCCAGAGTGGGGCAGGGGCCTGGGGAAGAGAAGGGGCGGGGTTTGATTTGGGGGATTATTATTCTGGAAGGGGAGAAGTCCTGGGGGAAAAAAGGCAGGAAGGGGGCTGGGAAGGAAAGGTTAGGAGAGAATCTAGGCCCCTTGGTCCCCCTCCCCCAGACTAAGATAAAGACTAGAATCCTGAAAGGTGATCTCATCACACAGAGCCAGGGCTGGGGGAAGGGGTGGGCAGGGGGTCACTGCCTTCCCTTGCTAAAGAGTCCTTTCCTCTACATCCACAGGGGATCAGGGGATAATGGGGTCCTGGCTTCCAGCTCCCAGAACCTAAAGGTTGGGTCCCTTTGCAAGACACCACCACCACCCTACCCCACTCTACAAATCTTCAGGTTTGTAGGAATCTGGCCAGTTTGATCAAGAAGACACTGAGGGGCCAAAGCACCCCCCTCCCAACCACTCCCAGGCGCTTGGTCAACTGCCAGATTCTAGGGAGGGTCTCAACAGAGGTTTCCATACCCTACAACCAAGAAGGGGGTGACCTGGAACAGAATCACCTGGTGAGTGATCCCGAACTCCTGGGTTTTCAATTCTAGCAGCTTGGAGGGAGGGGGTGAGGGGGCAGGAGAACTAGAGGAGCCCCAGGCAGGTCTTCCATCAGATCAGGCTGCCTGGGCGGGCTCTGTACCTGAACTCCTGAATCCCAAATCCAGCTGGCCGGAACCCAGGCACCCAGTGGCCCCGGAAGGCAAGGGGGAATCCCAGTTGGCTAGATGCCAGAGGTGTCTCCTATCTCTTTAGACCCCAAAGTCTCCTTCCCGAAGGAATGAGGGAGACCCCCACACACATATACAGGCTCCCTCCTCCCTCCAGAGGTGATTCCTTTCCTCATTAGGAAATTCTCCGCTCCCTTTTTCCGACTCCTTTTCCGAGCGTTTACGTTGTACATCTGGAAAGGAGGGGGAGGAAGGAGGGGAAAGCAGAGAGAAGGAGGGGGAAGAGCCCAAACCCGCTCAGTCTGACCCAGTCCAGACAACCGGCCTCCAGCTGGGGCTAGGGAGAGGGGAGTGGAGAGGTGCGGGGGGGCCCCCCCCACGCCCCTTCGGGGTGGGGGGCGCGGGCTCAGCGTTCCAAGGACCCAGGAATGCCCCCCCGCCCGCCCCCCCGGCAGGCGGGGCGAGGGCTCAGCCGGGAGTTTGGCAAACTCCTCCCCGCGTTGAGTCATTCGCCTCTGGGAGGTTTAGGAAGCGGCTCCGGGTCGGTGGCCCCAGGACAGGGAAGAGCGGGCGCTATGGGGAGCCGGGCACCAGGGTTCCCTCTCCACGCCGTGCAGCTGCGCTGGGGCCCCCGGCGCCGACCCCCGCTGCTGCTGCTGCTGCTGCTGCCGCCGCTGCTGCTGCTGCCGCCGCCACCCAGGGTCGGGGGCTTCAACTTAGACGCCGAGGCCCCAGCTGTGCTCTCTGGGCCCCCGGGCTCCTTCTTCGGCTTCTCGGTGGAGTTTTACCGGCCGGGATCAGACGGGTGAGTAAGGAGAGTTGGCGGCGGGATGGGGGGTGGGGGGCTGGAGACTGGGGGCGCGGCTGGAGTATGGAGGGGACCAAGGCTTGAGTTTGGGAGGCGGAGTTTGGAAGGACTAGGGCTGGAGTTGGGGGCCCGCGCGGGAGTAGGGAGGGGACAGTGGCCGGCGCGGAGTGGGCTCCTGGAGTTTGAGATCAGTGGGGAGACATGTGTGGGGTGGGGAGAGGACACGAAGCTGGAAGCTGGAGAGGTCTGGGCAAGGGTCTCGGGGCCAAGGGAAAGGAGGACGCGCGAACCGAGAGCAGCGGGTCTCTGGCTGAGATCTGTGAGCTGCCGGGACCCGAGGCGGATGCTGGCGAGAGGGGGCGCGGAGGCCGGGAAGGGCTTTTTGGAGCCCTGGGGGACCTTGGGACCCCTGAGGGCCATCGTGCGGAGGGAAGACGGGTCGAAGCAGAATGAGCTGTGTGTAGCAAGAGGGGAGTCGGGGACTGAGGGGGTCCGGAGGTTAAATGGGGACCAGCTTCATCCTCCCCTCCCCCCCCTCCGCTCAGACTGGGAAAGACCCGGGAGGGGGATGGCGGCTCCCTCCCCTTTCTCCTCGGGCTCCTACTCCGCCCTCCACCCCCAATCTCCGTTCGGACGAGGGGACCCGAGAAGTTGGGGAGAGTCCCGGGACCCGGGCCCTGGGGGCGCCGGCGCTGGGGCGGGCTTGGCCAAGGGCGGGTGCTCGGATGTGTCGGGAGGGGTGTGTGTGTGTGCGCGCGTGAAGGGGGGTGGGCGGTTTCCCTCTTCCTCTAGCTCTTGGGAGGAAGAGAAATGCCGATTTCCTGTAGCTTGTAGGCTGGAGCTGAACTGAGACCGGACTCCCGGGCTGGGGTCGGAAGCTGGGGAGACGCGGGCTCGCTGGGCCCAAGAGCGTCATAACACAGGACATCAAGGACTGGGGAAGTCTCAAAGGAGGGTCCTCATTCCCAGCTCAGCAGGGTGACAAGCAGACCGGACCCTGAGTGCCTGGATAGTGGGGGTCCCACAGACTTGGGAAACCGGAGTTAGAGCTGAGGCAACACTGGAACAAGGGTATTTGTTTAAATGTGGGGGATTGGGAAGCAAGAGAAGAAGGTAGCTGCTCCTGGGCCAAGCCAGGGACTCCCAGTTTCAGATTCCTGATCCTCCACAATAACTGGGAAATCCTCCTTCTCCTCGTCTCTGGGCACTGAGCTTCCCACTGGTGCCGACCACCACCACCCCAACCCCTAGTGTCTCGGGGTTTGATAGGACCTCTGTCAGAGGTGAGCTGTTTTTATACATGATACATTTAACTTAGCTCTACTCATTTTCTTTAGTTTTTGGAGAAAGGGGGTTAATCTAGCTAATTCATTGGGGGGGGCAGCAAATTTCTCCTTTGTCTGAAATGGGAAAAAAGAAAGATGGTTAGGCCCCAGCTGTTGGTTCTGCGCTATTCAAGGTCCCCACCCAACCCCCACCCCACCCCCCTGGCCTCCTGCCCAAACCCCATTGCATCACCCTGGCCTGGAGCCTCTGCCAGGCCTGGCCTCCCCCAGGCCCCCTCAAACTGCTTACCACAACCCTAATGGAGTAGAGAAGAGGGAGGCAGGGAGGGGATGGGATCTGGCCCCATATCAGGGTAAATCCAGTGGTCTGGCTCTTAACCTTCCTCACAGCCCACCCCCACCCCCACCTAGCCAAAGTGTCATCTCCCTTTTAAAAGACTCCTTTAAAACATCTGGACTTTCACACACTCCCATTCCCTAGGTGTCTGGCCCCTGGGCTGATCCTATAGTCCCTAAAGCAGTCTTCTCAACCAGGACCCAACCTTCCCATCCCTCCTCCACCCCTTCTGCTCATCACTCCTCCCAAGAGAACCCAGGTGTCCAACTTGCACTCCTCCCCTCTCATTTTCTGTTACAATACACCCTTAGAGTAGGACTCTGAACAATCCACCTCCCCAGTGACCTCCCTCCCACCACAGCTGGGCCTTCAACCCCCTCCTGCCCACAGGGGACAAAAGTAGCTCCCAACCTGGGGCCATCGCTGGAGAGGGCAGGTCTCAGTGTTCGTGTTGTCCCTGAAACATCTCTCACAGGGGCACTGAGACAGCATCAAAGGGCAGGGTGAGGCCAAGAGGGGTTACATGGTAAGAAAGGGCCATGCTTTGAGTCAGACAGCGCTGGGGGTGCATCCTGGCCCCACCACTTTGTTCTTTGTGTGACCTGAGGCGAGTTACTTTTGCTCCGTGTTTCATGGTGTTTCATGAAAATCAGACACCTAATGGATGAGGCTGTTCTGAGGACTGAGTGAGACAATAGATACAAAAAGCACCTGGTCCATAGAGGGTGATCAGTACATGGGAGGCATGATTTTTCCAGGGTAGCTGTTTTCTATCTCTGGTTTTCTCCTCCCTGGATTATCACCTGGTTCTTTGTCTAACTTTTCCCCCATTTCTTACTTGCTTCTAGTATTTGTTTATAGTAGTGATAGTAATAATGGTCCTTCACATTCCTTAGCACTGTCCTATCAATTTTTCCATTGGATTGTTAACAGAAACCCTTGCATTAGGTATAGGAAACACTACTGTGTCGTTTTATATATGCATACAAACGGAAACTTCAGGAATCATAGAAATTGGCTTAGGGACCATTCAAGGGCAACCCGTCATTTTATGGGGAGAGAATCCAGAGCTTGGAGAGAAGTGACTTGGCCCAGGTCACAAGCTGGAAAGGCATCCAGACTTCTTAGCCGGGCTCTTTCTTCCCTTCTGGTACGGGCGCTGCCACAAGTGGAGGCGACTCTTCCCCGCCAGCCAGCCGGGCATTTCTCTTGGGAATACACTGGGGGATCTAGAATGTCCTCCTCTGACCTGGCCAGGGCAGCTGTAGGACCTGCAGGAGCTGGGGGCCCTGGTCCACTTGCTACTCCCCACCCCCGACCTTGCCAGGCCAACAGAGTCAAACAGTAACCATGTATTGAACAGGAACTTGGTTAATCAGAAGCCTGGCTGGGGAGATAGTAGAGGGGAGAGAAGGGGATAAGTTGGCAGCAGGGTAGACCAGAACACTGGCCTAGGAAAGAGGGTTCTTAGCTTCTGGTCCTTATGTCGGGAAGGATTCTGAGTGACCTTGGACATGTTACTTAACCTCTCTGGGACTTAGTTTTCCCATCTGTAAAATGAGAACATGGGACTAGGTCAGCAATTTTTTAAGTAAAACTTTTTCTTTATTTCCTTTATTTTTATTTAAATTCAAACGATGGCTTACCAGAGCATTCTATATAAAACCGGGAAAAGAGGTTGCTCTAAAAGAAGATGGGGAGGACTGTCAGGACCAAACGGGCCTCCCCAAACTTCCACGTGGCTGGCCTGAGGCATCTACAGGACAGTCTTCAAACTAGTGGCACCTCGAAGCTGTGGTAGCCTGTGTCTCCACGAGCCAACTCTAGAATTTCGGGGAGCTGAGGCTTCAAAAGTAATTATGGCAATTATTTCTTCCCGTGAACTCCACGTTTTAGAAGAGTTTATCTGCCAAACTGCATTTAGTAAGGCATAATTAATTGCTTTTTCCTGTTTTTTATCAACTAGAAGTTAGAGCAAGAAGACAGCTATAGCTGCCAATCAGAGCTTCTGACCAATACGTGATAACCAGCTTCCCCAAATGTTGATATAATTTTAGCCAAAAGCAAATACACTTGAGGTTTTAATTAGCCCAGCCACCTTATCAGGTGAATGCATGATTTCCATTAGGCTTTCTGAAATATTGAAAATAGCCCAAGGTCCCTCCATTGTTACCTTCGTGGACCCCTAAGAGGGCCCAGCTGCTGCAGGATTTAGGAAGCGAGAACTAGGAGTGGGGGAACAAGGATAAACTATGTGATGGGGCTACCCTGACACCAGGCACTTTGCTTGGCACATGGGGAAGGGCGCTATTTATTGGGATGCAAGGGCCACTGCAACCGCAGGTATCAGTCACGGGGTGGGAGTCTGGGTCTGTGTCCCTTGCCTGCTTGCCAGATCTCCTGATCTCTCGCACAGCCACAACGTATATGCCCCCCCCAGCCCATGAGCCTGTGGGCTTCACAGGCTTTGTAAGGCCTCACTCACCTTCCAACCCTGCCAAACTCCAAGCTTCTTCTCCAAGCCATCCTAAGAGCCCTTGGGCTCAGTTCATCATCAAGGGCAGGGGGTGTTGGAAAACTCGGAGTGGGAGCAGGGTCTCTTGGCTGCCGCCTTGTGCCCTCCTGGAAATGGAGAGCTCCAGGAGACTTTCAGGTAAACTGTTCAACCTCTTCACCTAGAGAGAGAGGGAAACGGTATCGCCCAAGTCCACACTGAGCTAGAGCCTGACCCAGAGCTCCTGACTCCTAGTCCAGTGCTCTTTTCACTGCCTCCTGTACCACAGCTATTGTCTGGAGCTGCGCCTGCTAAGGGAGGCTTGCACCCCTCCCTCCTCACCCAGTCCTGGGACAGTGCAGCCTCTGCCCCCCACCAGCCTCACCTACTGGGCCTGGCAACTGACTGGATCACTGTGCCTTCCAAGTAGCCAGCTCCCACCCCCCAACTGGATGTAATGCCTGAGTGAGAGGGGTGGGGCCCGGCCAGCGGGTGGGAGACAAACGGAGAAGTGAGAGGTTGGAAACAGACAGGAAGCCACAGGCAGTAAACATTTCCTGTCCCCAGGGTAACCAGGGCTCACACCCCACCCCCCTTCACTCCAGGAACTCTCCCTCCCTGGCCCCCTCCTATTCCTCTGGACCCTGCCTTCTCCCTCCTCTGTTCTCATCCTCCAGCCCTCCCTGCCCACTCCACACTCCCCACTTCAGTCCCGTGGCCCTGCCCCCTTATTCTCCCCATCCCCTGTTCTTCTTGAACCCCACCCCTCTCACCCCTGCCCCACCTGGTCCTCTTGGAAGACACCCTTAGCTTTTGGGACCTCTACCATACTTACCCACTTGGGCTCTTTCCTGGTAAGGAAGGCTAGGGAACATACCCAAATATCAGGGAAAAGATGGTACAGGGAATGTTGAAAGCTAAAAGAGGCCAGAAACCAGTAGAGATGGAAGAACCCAAGATCTGAGATGGAGAAAGAGACAGATGACTCAAAAAACCGAAACGAAGAAGGCAAGTAGTCACAGGGGCAAAGAGACAGAGAGACTGAGAAGCAGTGCCAGAGCGGATACGGGAGGAGAATAGAGGCCAGCCTGGCAGGGACACTGGCCCAGGGGCTGGGTCCAGTTGCCCCAGGCTGCCAGATGCAGTCCTTGTGGGAGACCCTGGAGGAGAAAACCAACAGGGCTGATGGCTACACAGAGGCCTTGGAGCCAAGGGACCTCAAAGACTGTGGTAGAGGCAGAGCCAAAGGCAGGAAAGATTGTCCAGGACCTTAACCATGACCACCCCGTTACATAGGACCCCCAGCAAAGGCAACTTTCCTCCTCATTGTCTCAAAGCACCGTGTTCAGAATCAAGACCCAGTAGAGCAAGATCTGAATTCAGACTCCTAGGGATGGTGTGTGGGGAAGGGGTTCAGGGCTGAGCAGAAACCTAGACAAGATGGGGAGGTCTACCCCAGAGCCCAGGGGCAGGCAGGCCCAGGCCCAAGGGAATCTGTCTTCACCATCCTCCAAGCTCCTCTCTCCACTTCTACTGACTGATTTCCAAGACTCACATTTTCCTCCTACACGCCCCAAGGCTGGGCAGCCGGATGCCTGGGTCTTGGCCCAGAGAAGGGCTTTGGCTTGGGACAAGAGGGTAGAGGTTAGGTGAGAGGACCCTGGAGCTCCAGGGGCTGCGTGTCCAATCCTGGCGATCCACAGGGGAGACGGAGAAGCTGGGGTCCAGGCCCTCTGGCTCCTGTTCCCTTCCCAGAACTGACTCTGGTCCTCCTCTCTAATAACAAGGGAAGATGGTGAAGGGGGGTGGTTGTGTTAGTGACAGCGGCACATGGGGACCACCTGACTCCAGCCTGTGCCTCTGGCATCTGTGGCATCTTCTGGGATCTAAATACAACCCAGGGGGCATCTACCCCACCCCCCCGCCAGCCCCTGGCCCAGAAGCCTGGGGGGAAACTGGAGGAGAGCTAGCAGTCATTCTGAACCACCTCTCCTTTCCCCTCCACAGGGTCAGCGTGCTGGTGGGAGCGCCCAAGGCTAACACCAGCCAGCCGGGAGTGCTGCAGGGTGGTGCTGTCTACCTCTGTCCCTGGGGCGCCAGCCCGGTACACTGCACACCCATTGAATTTGACAGTAAAGGTAACCCCCTTGGATAGGCTGGGAAGCTCAGAAAGGGACTGGGGGTGGTGCGGCAGCGTGGGGGCGGGCCCTGCGGCGCCGGGAGCGAGGGGTGGAGCCGGCCCCCGTTCTGTGGCCACGTGCCGTGCTCCGGCTCTCTGGGCTCCAGCGCCGTGGGGCAGCGGCGCAGCGGCTCCCCGTGGCACTCATACCACGTTCCCAGTCCAGCCCAGCCCAAGGAGGGCGGGCATGATTCAGAAACATGTGGCTCTCATTTCCCCTGAATCACCCACAACTCTGGGAGGCCGGGGCAGTAACACAGACAAAGACAGGGAGAGTCACACAGACTTTTCAGTGCATCCAACTAAGCACTGACTAAGTGACAGTGCATGGCAGGCACTGTGCCGGTGCTGCGGGGACTGGTGCATGATGAAACCACTGCCGGCAAGGAGCTCCAGGTCTGGAGTAGATGCAGAGGTGGATGGGAGCGAGGCACAGGGAGACAGATGGAGAGATAGACAGACAGAAGTAACGGCTGACACATTCAGAGCACTTGCTCACTGTTGCAAGCACTTTGCATACCTTAACTTGCTTAATCTTTTCAACCCCAGGGTGAGGTATTATCCCCATCTCATAGATGAGGAAACGGAGGTCAAGTAACTTGTCCAAGGTCATGCAGCTAGTAGTATATGGTGGATAAGGGACATGAACTTGAACAGTCTGGCTCCAGAGATAAAGACTGGGGTAAGGGGACAAAAAGAGGAGAGATAAAAAGATGGAGACAATGGCAGGGGCAGGGAGAAGATCATGAAACAGACTTTTTTTTTTTTTAACCTGAAAGACATGAGAATCAAAGGAAAGAAAAAACCGTCCTATAGAGGGCAGAGATAAGACTTGGAGAGACAGACAAATGAAGGGAGAGAGAGAGAGAGACATAAGGGGACAGAAACCCAGATAAGAAAGGGGATGGAACAAGGTGCTGTTGTTAGAGACACAGACCCAGGTACAGAGAAGTGGAGCCAGAGGACCACCCTCGAGGGAAATAGCCTTTCTTCCCCACCACCCTCCTGCCTCCCCCTTACCGCAGGCATCCCTGTCCCAGCCGGGTGAGGAGGCACGGGGATGAGGAGAAGGCAGCTCTAGAAAGCCTAGGTTCTGTGCGTGTGCGTGCGTGTGTGCGTGCGCACGCATACATGTGTCTGGGGAAGGGGTGAGTCAGGCTGCCCAAAGCAGACTCTAAAGACCCTTTCCCACTCCTCCCAGTGAGTCATGGGGCTCGAGGTTTGCAAGTGTCTGGGCGCTCCCAGGCCGGGGGTGAGGGCCGCTCGAGGGATCAGCCGTCCACAGCCCAGCATGACTGCCTTTCTCACTTCTCCAAGGCTCTCGGATCCTGGAGTCCTTAGTGTCCAGCCCAGAGGGACAGGAGCCTGTGGAGTACAAGTCCTTGCAGTGGTTCGGAGCAACAGTTCGAGCCCACGGCTCCTCCATTTTGGTGAGGGCCCGGCAGGCTCAGTGGTGTGGCGACTAGGGGATGGGCAGTGGTTGAATATAGTGCAGCACAGGCCCTCTCCCACGGAGGGAGAGAGGAGAGGCCCCGTCGGACTGACCTGAAGCCCCCTCCTCCCGGGCCCTGCCAGGCCTGTGCTCCTCTATACAGCTGGCGCACAGAGAAGGAGCCGCTGAGCGACCCCGTGGGCACCTGCTACCTCTCCACAGGCAATTTCACCCGAATTCTGGAGTATGCACCTTGCCGCTCAGGTAGGGCAAGAGGGGGCATGTGCCCCACGTCTGCCCTCACTCTTTGAGTCCTCACCCCCCCCCCGCCCCCAATTAGCCTTTCTGATCACTGTCAGGTCCAGGGAGGTCCTTTCTCTGATGCCCCCTCCCCCCTCCCTCCCCAAGCTCTCTCTCCTTTCCTGCGAGACCCATCTGTGCTGGGCTCCTTCCCACCACCTTCTCCCCCTCACAGATTTCAGCTGGGCAGCAGGACAGGGTTACTGCCAAGGGGGCTTCAGTGCTGAGTTCACCAAGGTGAGAGGGTGGTCTGGGAGGGAAGTGGCTGTGGGTGGCGTCACACGGGAGTCAGGACCAGATGTGGACTCCTCTCCTTCCCCCTATAGACTGGGCGTGTGGTCCTGGGTGGACCAGGGAGCTATTTCTGGCAAGGTAAGTCCTTCCTCTGCTGTCTCTTTGTCCCCTGGCACACAGCCTCTTGTCCCTCTTCCTGCCTCACATCACCATCCTTCCCTCTTCTGCCCCCATCCTGATTCTCCTCTCCCTTCCTTGAGATGTATGTATCCTTTTCCTCCACCCTCCACACGCTTCTCTTCCCTGAACCAGACTTCTGCAATGCCACCCCGTCGGCTCCCAGTGCCCCCCTCCTTGCCACCTCCTCCTCCGTCCATCCAGCTCCTTGTCCCCCTTCCCCAGGCCAGATCCTGTCTGCCACCCAGGAACAGATTGCAGAATCCTATTACCCTGAGTACCTGATCAACCTGGTGCAGGGCCAGCTGCAGACCCGCCAGGCCAGTTCCATTTACGATGACAGTTACCTGGGTGAGTGAGCGATGGGGAGGGATCTACAGGGAGAGACCCTCAGGTGCTCTTGCCCCAACTCCCCCCACTTCTCTTCTCCCACTCAGGCATCCCCAGTCCCTCTGCCATACTTGTGTGCAGGCTGCATATGAAGGCCCAGTAGGGGTGGGGAAGAAACTGGAGGATGGGCCACAGCAGAGGGGTCCCCACAGGAGTACTAATATCCACTCACCCTGTCCCCAGGATACTCTGTGGCTGTGGGTGAATTCAGTGGTGACGACACAGAAGGTGAGTGTGTCCCCCAGGCTGGGTCCAAGGGAGAGGGATGGATGGAGGAGACCCAGGACCTGGGGCTACAGGAACCGAGACCCCATTCTGGTCTGATGCCCCTTTCCCCACGCTTAACCCACAACTTTCTCTTCACTTTGCAGACTTTATTGCTGGCGTGCCCAAAGGGAACCTCACCTATGGTTATGTAAGACGAAGCTTGACCCTCCCTCCCTCCCTTCCCTTCCCCTCCCCTGGCTAATCACAAAGAACCATATGCACAGCAGTTTGTGAGGGTTCAAAAAGTGGATCAGAACACGGGCTTGGGAGGCAGACCTGGGTTCAAGTACTGGCGCTTACTCTGGATGAATCATTCTGTTATTTATTCATACCCCACTTCATTCCATAAAATCCTTAAACCTACTTAGCCTCTCTGAGCCTCATTCTTCTCTGTATAATGGGATAATAATAGTTCTGACCTCACAAGGCTCTTGTAAGGATGAAATGAGATAATGCCAGTGAAAGTACTTAGTGAACTCTTAGGCAGTGTACAACTGGTAGCTGTTATTATTAGACCGTGACAAGTGCTTTAAAAAGGACATAGATAAGAATGCCACAGGAGTTCATTCAATTGACAGCATTTATTAGGGCAAGGTAAGAGATGAAAAGCTGAATAAGACACTGTACCCCATCTCATAAGGTGCTTCTAATCGAAGATGTAAGATAAGACACAGGTACAGTTATAATCTCAGGTGCGGCAACTTCCTGCACCCCTCGGTGCAGCAGGCTCTGCCCACTCATGATCCCGGGGTCCTGGGATCAAGCCCCACATCGGGTTCCCTGCTCGGCGGGGAGCCTGCTTCTCCCTCTCCCTCTGCTGCTCCCCCTGCTTGTGCTCTCTCTCTCTCTCTCTCAAATAAATAAAAATAAAATCTTAAAAAAAAAAAAAAAGAAGGATATAGCAGTTTAGTGGAGGAACGAACAGATCAGAGAAGGTTCTATGAAGGATCCTTGGAGATGAGGCAAGAGGGCATCTGGGACAGGAGCATGAAAAGCATGGAAGAAGAGGAAAAGAAAGTCAGGCCATTGTAGCAGACTCGTGGGCTGATTGAAGATGAGGAGAATAAGGAAAGGTTGAAGAAAAACAGATAGGTTGGGGCCAGATTCTCCAGGGCCTCAGAAGAGGCCAAGAAGTTGAGAATTTGGGCAATGGCTCCAGGGAATCCCTGTGGATTTCCAAGCCAGAAGTGTCCCTGCTGGATCCGCTCTGGGACCATCAGTCCATCTGCTGCAGTAGAGGCAGGGTGCCAAGAGGCGGCGGGGGGCGGAGGGAGCGGGGGCAGCCAGGGGGCCGTCCCGCAGTCCTGGGAGAGGACTCACACCAGAGTAATAGCAGCGAGAGTGAGGAAGAGGGCAAGGAGTCAAGGGCCAGTGGCTAAGGGCGGACAGAGGGGAGCCAGGAGTGTTGGTGGTTTGGGAGGGCTGGGGGGTGAGGAATGACTGAGGTCTCAGCTTGCATTCATCGTTCACCTAATGATTATGGTCTGCTGCACTACTGAAGCAGTACTTCAGCCTTTGGGGAGAAAGCAAAGAACAAACCCAAACTCCTGCCCTCACTGATCGTACATTCTAGTGGGTAGAGATGGACAACGGACAGATAAATATAAAATCCGTCTGTAGTTGATCAGTGATACGGAGAAAACTAGTGACATTGCCATGTAGTGGAGCCACGTGGCATAGAGATGGGAACACGAAAGCAAAGTCTGGCGGGAATTAGGAGACAAGTGGTCTGTGTCTCTAACAAATGCCTCCCCCGGGGAATCCCATACCCATTTGTCCTCCACCCACGGGATGGTCTGGGAGTCCACGACCAATGGGTGTATCTCGTCATCCCCAGGTCACCATCCTTAATGGCTCAGATGTCCGATCCCTCTACAACTTCTCAGGGGAGCAGGTGAGGACACCCCCACACACGACCCAGCTTGGCCCTCTGCCAACCAAGTCCCAGCCCTAACCCAGTAAGCTCAGCCCAACTTCTCAGGCTCCCTGGAGTCTCTGGCCTCCCCCAACAGTTCCTGTTGATCTTGTCGAGTGACCCCCTAGTTCTGACCCAATGCTGACTTTTGTCGACCCCCACCTCAGATGGCCTCCTACTTCGGCTATGCAGTGGCTGCCACAGACATCAACGGGGACGGGTGAGTAGTGGTAAAGGGGCACAGCACGATGCCCTTCCCAGATCCCGGACCGAAGAGTGGGAGTGGCACAGATAAATACAAGGAAGATTTTTCTCCAGGCTTTTTCTCTGGATTCTCCCCCAGTGCCTGCCTTCCCCTTGCTCAGAAGCAAGGAGAGAGCTGAGAGCTAAAGACCTCAAGTCTTCTGGGTTGGGTGGCAGGGAGCCTGGGATCCAGGAGGCCTGGGATTTCCTGGCAGTGGGACTGGGGAGGGGAAGTGGCAAGGCAGGGTATCAGGACACCTAGGTTTTCCCCCCTCCCCTCAGGCTGGATGACTTGCTGGTGGGGGCACCTCTGCTCATGGAGCGGACCGCTGATGGGCAGCCTCAGGAGGTGGGCAGGGTCTATGTCTACCTGCAGCACCCAACTGGCATGGAGCCCACACCTGCCCTGACCCTCACCGGCCATGATGAGTTTGGCCGATTTGGCAGCTCCTTGACGCCCCTGGGGGACCTGGACCAGGATGGCTACAATGGTAAGTGCCATGGGCCCCAGGAGCTGAGGTGTCTGGGGCCTGAGTCAGAAGGAATTTGGGGAGACGGTGGCTGTCAGCGAAGATACTCAGACCCCCAGTGACTCCCCAAGGAGGTTGTGTAAACTTTAATCCTGATGTCTAGGTCTTGGGACTTGAAGAGGTTAGAAAACTGGGAATGACAGATGGGAAAGAGAGGATCCTGGGTTCTGGGATCTGGTGGTAGAGATTCAGACTCCTGCATTCCCGGTCCTCTGACTGGTGTGTGTTGTGTGTCTTGCAGATGTAGCCATTGGAGCTCCCTTTGGTGGAGAGACCCAGCAGGGAGTAGTGTTTATATTCCCTGGGGGCCCAGGGGGGCTGGGCTCTAAGCCGTCCCAGGTTCTGCTGCCCCTGTGGGCAGCTGGCCACACGCCGGACTTCTTTGGTTCTGCGCTTCGAGGAGGCCGAGACCTGGATGGCAACGGATACCCTGGTGAGTAGTGGCTGAGGCCCCTTTCACCTTAGAATTCTCCAGGTCACAGACCTCTCCCCGCCTCCTCTGCACTTTCCTGAGCTCCTGGGTACAGTTCTAGAATAATGCCACCAGATGGCGCTGTTCCCTCACTTTTACCTCCTTTGAGCAATGCCCTAGAAGAGGATTAGGAAGGAAGGATCTTGATTTGGGGCTTGCTGTAAGGGGTAGTTTCTTGACTTCTTGCAGATCTGATTGTGGGGTCCTTCGGTGTGGACAAGGCTGTGGTGTACAGGTATGAATTCGAGGGGGGCAGCCTGGGAAAAGAAAAGTAGGAACTGGGGAATTTCTCATTAGGGCTGAGGTTGGGAAAGTGTGCAAAGGACACTGGCTACCTGGGGCTTGCACATCAGCTTCCTGTGCCCGGATTCCAGCAAAGTCTTAGTTCTATTGACCCCACATCCACTCTTGGCAGGGGCCGCCCCATTGTCTCTACCAGTGCCTCCCTCACCATCTTCCCTGCCATGTTCAACCCAGAGGAGCGCAGCTGCAGCTTGGAGGGGAACCCTGTGGCTTGGTGAGCTGGGGCCCAGGAGATGACAGGGAAGGTGTCTGAAATACCTCAGTCTGTGCCTGGGAGTGGGCAGAGAAACCAAGTCTGTTGTAGGGGACAAATGCAGGTGTCCCAGTCCGGGTCTGTCTGGGAGGTGGAGGGAGGATAGGATGCCTGTTCATTGGATACACCAGCTTTCCTCTTCGTCTTCCTCCAGCATCAACCTTAGCTTCTGCCTCAATGCTTCTGGAAAACACGTTCCTGACTCCATTGGTGAGGGAAACGGCCTGAATCTCGTAGGCCTTGGGATAGGGGATGGAGGGGCCGGGGACTTTGGCACTTCCCTTCTCTCTGAATAGGTTAGGAGGGAGAGACAGATTCTCCTGAACATGTGTCCCTGGCTGCAGGCTTCACAGTCGAGCTCCAGTTGGACTGGCAGAAGCAGAAGGGGGGCGTACGGCGGGCACTGTTCCTGGCCTCCAGACAGGCAACCCTGACCCAGACCCTGCTCATCCAGAATGGGGCTCGGGAGGACTGCAGAGAGATGAAGATCTACCTCAGGGTATGGCCCCAAGGGCGGAGAACAGACTGGCCTAGGGAGGGTGTCACATAGAACTGGGGCCCGTCTTGAAAGAAAAGAGATTGGGAGATCCCAGAGAGAGGCTTGGGACTTTGTGGGCTGAGGAAAGGGGTCCTTCTGTCTGAGGAACTGGGAACCAGGCTGTTGGGGCCTCGGAAGTAAAGAGAATGGTCAAATTTGGACACCTGGATTCTTGAGCATCCTGAGTGGACAAAGAGAGATGTGTCCCCTGACACAATGAACTCTCTCCCCCACCCCCCAGAATGAGTCAGAGTTCCGAGACAAGCTCTCCCCGATTCATATCGCCCTCAACTTCTCCCTGGACCCCCAATCCCCTGTGGACAGCCATGGCCTCCGGCCAGTCTTACATTACCAGAGCAAGAGCCGCATAGAGGACAAGGTGAGGAGAGGGGTGAGAGATGAGACCCGGGAGAAGAGAACCCTGGGCACCCGGGGCAGGGCCCTGGAGGGGGGAGCCTTCAGCCCAGGAGGAGGTCTAAACTCCCCCTCTCAACGCTAACCTGCTCCGCAGGCTCAGATCTTGCTGGACTGTGGAGAAGACAACATCTGTGTGCCGGACCTACAGCTGGAAGTGTTTGGGTAAGTGAAGGCCAACGTCAAGCTGGGGGATTCCAGATGCTAAGATCTCATAGCAGGACAGGTGGAGTTTGGAGGCAACTGGCACCTGAAAAGATAGACTAGGGACATACTAGCAAGCTGTGTGACCTTAGGAAGCTATTCAGCTTCTCTGAGCTTCAGCTTCATCTGTAGAGTAGGAATGATAGCATCAATTTCTCAGCCTTTTTGGAAGGACTAAGTGAAATAATCTAGATAAAGCATCTGGTTAGGGAGGCGCCTGGGTGGCTCAGTTGGTTAAGCATCTGCCTTCGGCTCAGGTCATGATCCCAGGGTCCTAGAATCAAGTCCCACCTCGGGCTCCTTGCTCAGCAGGGAGTCTCCTTCTCCCTCTGCCTGCTGCTCCCCCTGCTTGTGCTCTCTCTCTCTCTCTCTGACAAATAAACAAATAAAATATTAAAAAAAAAATAAATCATCTGGCCTAGTTATCCATAGAGTTGTAACTCAGTAAATGGTACCTATTATTATTGTATTATTATTATGGCTCATTGTCCTGGTTTGGGGATTAATTTCCCAGTGTCCCTTACCCTGTGTTTCCCCTCCAGGGAGCAGAACCACGTGTACCTGGGCGACAAGAACTCCCTGAAGCTAACTTTCCACGCCCAGAATGTGGGTGAGGGCGGTGCCTATGAGGCTGAGCTTCGGGTCACAGCCCCGCCAGAGGCTGAGTACTCCGGACTCGTCAGAAACCCAGGGGTGAGAGGGGACTCTCGGGCTTGGCTTGGGAGGGGCCTGCCAGAGGGGCACCAAAACCTTACCCATACCCACCCCACCTCCAGAACTTCTCCAGCCTGAGTTGTGACTACTCTGCTGTCAACCAGAGCCGCCTGCTGGTGTGTGACCTGGGCAACCCCATGAAGGCAGGAGCGAGTGTAAGTCTGGCACAGGAGAGAGGAGCCGAGAGGGCAGTGACCAGCTTATCCAGAGCACAGCTGTGGAATAGGGAAGGGGGCTGGAATTGGGGTGAGGCAAATGCCCAATCTAACAGGATCCTTTGTCCTCCCTCCTTGCCCCACAGATCTGGGGTGGACTTCGGTTCACAGTCCCTCACCTCCGGGACACAAAGAAAACCATCCAGTTTGACTTCCAGATTCTCAGGTAGGGAGTTGGGGGGGGGGTGGAGCCTGGTGCAGGGGGGCATTCTCCCTGGCTGGCCTCCAGCACTGCCTCAGTCTCTCCTCCATCCTGCAGCAAGAATCTCAACAACTCACAAAGCGAAGTGGTTTCCTTCCGGCTCTCAGTGGAGGCTCACGCCCAGGTCTCCCTTAACGGGTAAGTGCCCAGGCAAACTGGGGCCTTTCTGGGAGAGGGGATACTTCTAGGAAAGGATGCATAGAGGATCCCTTCCACTGTCCTCTAAACCACACTCCTCCTTAGTGTCTCCAAACCTGAGGCAGTGCTATTCCCAGTGAGCGACTGGCATCCCCGAGACGAACCTCAGGAGGAGGGAGACGTGGGCCCTGCTGTCCACCATGTCTATGAGGTGAGGAATGGTAGAGGGGCTAGGTTCAGGGCAGGCTGCTGGGAGTGGAGGGGCTAGAAGGTATTTCATCTTCACCTATTGATTTCCTCCTTCACCTCTGAGATAGGAGATATGCAGCAGGGGATATTGGGCCATGGTGACCCATGGTCTCAGGAGGGCAGAAGCCCTCCCTACTTCTCAGGATGGTTGTGTTCCCCTCTCCTCAGCTCATCAACCAGGGCCCCAGCTCCATTAGCCAGGGCATGCTGGAGCTCAGCTGTCCCCGGACTTTGGAAGGTCAGCAGCTTTTCTACATGACCAGGGTGACAGGACTTGGCAACTGCACCACCAGTCACCCCTCCAACCCACAGAACCTGGAGGTGAGAGGCCTGGAGACTGATATGGGAGGAGGGCCCACGGCTGGGGAGGTTAGGGAAGGTCACTGGAGGCCTGGAAGAGCCCAAAGGAGTGCCTGAAGCTAAGACTGGAAGAGGGGCAGAAGAACCACAGACACCTCAAGGCCGTGGAGGGAAAAAGACTCTTTTATACACTGCCTGAAATATCCTTCCCTTACTTCTTGCCCTGGCATACTTCTAGGGCCCATCTCTGTCCCACCTTCTCTGGGAAGCCATCTTCAGACCTGTTTCCCTGGGCCCTAATGCCTGGTTTAAAGTTTGTTTACTCATTGGCAACATTTAAGCAAATGAGTGTCCTACACTGAACACTGTTATAGGCTCAGGAAATATCTCACTCAACCAAACTAACAAGGTCCCCACTCTCATGGAGCTTACGTTTTAGTAGAGAATAATAGATAATTAAAATTGAAAGGGGAGGGGCGCCTGGGTAGCTCAAGTCAGTTAAGCGTCTGCCTTTAGTTTAGGTCATGATCCCAGCTCCTGGGATCTAGCCCCAGAGCCCCACAACGGGCTCCCTGCTCAGCGGGGAGCCTGCTTCTCCCTCTCCCTCTGTGCCACTCCCCCTGCTTGTGCTCTCTCTCTCTCTCTGTCAAATAAGTAAATAAAATCTTTAGAAAAAAGAGAAAGAGAGAGAGAGGGAACAGGTTGGAGCTGCTCTGGAACCCAGTTGCTGGCTGACTTGGATGCTGTGATGAGGTGGAAGAGGCAGCTAACGGTTTCTTCCTTCTTCCAGTTGGATCCAGAGGGTTCCCAGCACCACCGGCTACAAAGACGGGAAGCTCCAGGCCGGAGTCCGGCCTCCCCAGGACCTCAGATCCTGGTAAGTCATACTGGGACCTGGGTTCTTAGAGCCTCCAGAAGGGCAGAACTCTGGGTTCAAGCCTCTTCTTTCTTCCCAGAAATGCCCCGAGGTGGAGTGTTTCAGGCTGCGTTGTGAGCTCGGGCCACTGCACCGACAAGAAAGCCGAAGTCTGCAACTGCATTTCCGAGTGTGGGCCAAGACCTTCCTGCAAGTGAGGGAGCCTTACCTCCACCCTGACCCTTGGCTTTCAGGCCTGCCTGATCATACCCTCCCTTTCCCTACTGCCCCAGCCACCTCCTTTGGTGAAGGGGACCCAGACACTCCAGCTCCCCTCCCTCACCCTTGTTTAGACCAGGCTGTGTGTCCTTTGTGCCACCTAGTGGCCACTCTGGGAGTGACAGCTTCCCTCTCCAGGCCCGTGCAGAGAAGGGAGAACTGGAGGGAGACCAGCATGCAGAGAATGATAAAAAAAAACAGATGGAAGATGAATCCATAATGGAGAGGCAGGCAGATGTAGGAATAGTAAAGAGCAGTCATTTATTGAGCAAACGCTGTGGGCCAGGCGGTGTCCTGGGTGCTTGACCCACATTAATGACTCAAAAAAAATTTTTTACTGAACATGTAGCCATCTAATTATACATTATTTAGTTATAAGTATTTAATTGCACATTTGTTATCTCATATAAGGAACACAGATATTCAGGAGAGAATGAGTCCAGAATAGGGAAAGATCACAACCTGAGCCAGATCGTGGGAAGCCCTCTGTCCTCTAGATCCCAAGAGGGGCTGCCCTGAGCACCTCTTCCCCACCCACAGCGGGAACACCAGCCATTTAGCCTGCAGTGTGACGCTGTATATGAAGCCTTGAAGATGCCCTACCGAATCCTGCCCCAGCAGCTTCCCCGAAAGGAACTTCAGGTGAACCTGGGCCAGAGGTCTGGGCCAAGGAAGCCAAGGCTCAGAGTACTGGGCCTGGCACAAGGACTGGGATGGGGGTGGGGGCTGGCCTTGTTATTGTAAAAAATGTGTCTTGAGCATTCCTGTGTGCCAGGGCCTGTACTGGGTCCTGGGGATATAACAATAAGCAAGATGAACAGAGTCTCCTCACTCTTGTAGTTCACAGGCTAGCGGGCAATGAGAACACAGTGTGACAAGTGCCAGGATATTTATGGGAACACATCAGAGGGACACTTAAACTCAGTCTTGCAGTGTAGGAAAGGCTGCCTGGAAGAAGTAATGTTTCAGCTGAGACCTGAAGAATAAATAGGAACTATGGGGCTAATCAGTCAGGACAGGTATATTCTCTGGGGAGAGGAGATTAGCAGGTGTGAAGACTCAAAAGTACAAGATAATAATGCACATCTTGGGAATTTAAATTTTGAAGTTCAGAATTCTGTTAGCCCAACCTGGGAGGTGAGAGGTGGTCTAGGTCCGATAGCCAGTGGGAGCCAAGTGTGGGTGGGGAGAACGAATGGCTTTTCAGTGACCTCTCCTGACTTGCTCCCTAGGTGGCCACGGCTGTGCAGTGGACCAAGGCAGAAGGCAGCCACAGCGTCCCACTGTGGATCATTATCCTAGCCATCCTCATTGGCCTCCTGCTCCTAGGGCTGCTCATCTATATCCTCTACAAGGTCAGCCACATCCTACCTGTGACTTGGCCACTCCCTCATCAGGTTCTGCCCTTAACCCAACATAGTCCCAAGCATCTACCTCCAGACCAGGTCTCCAGCCACATGCCCCCTCCTCTGCCCTGGCCACGTGCATGCTATCCTGCCTGTAGGATCCTTCCCTTCATTCCACAGCCCCTAGCTTAGAAAGAGTCTCTTGACTCAAGCGGAGAAGTTTGCCTAGACTTGCAAAATCAATGACACTCACAAGTGGCAAATATGTGGCATTTGTGCTATTATCACTTCCCCCAAAACTAATGGCAGCCGTCACTAATTGGCCATACCCTGGAAGTGGTCTCAGAATCCTTCTCAAGAGGCAGCCACTACTAAGCATTCAGACGTAGAACTTTAATTCAAATCTGTTTGCCATCCCTGGCCTAACTGGGGGCAATTTTACAGCACTGATGAAAGAACCCCTTATGCCAAAAGCACTCCCAGCTTTAGCCCTCCTGGCCCATTGGACCTATTGGAGAGGTGGTCTTAACAGCCAGGATTTAGGCCACTCTTGCAAAACGGGGAGATTGGAAGTACTAGAATCCTCTTCATTTCCTCTTGGGATAAGATATGGGGAGAAATGGAAGCCAGAATATCTAAACTTTCCCTCCTTACCCCCTCAATTAGCTCGGATTCTTCAAACGCTCCCTCCCATACGGCACCGCCATGGAAAAAGCTCAACTCAAGCCACCAGCCACCTCTGATGCTTGACTCCTCCCGATTCCAGACTCCCAATCCTCAAGGCCCAGTCCTCCCACCCTCAGTCTACTGACAGGGAGGGGGCTGGGCACTTCCTGAAGGTGCTGAGGGCCAGGGAGAAGCTCCTCTCCCCAGCCTAGAGACATACTTGAAGGGCCAGAGCCGGGAGTTGAGGAGCTGGGGATCCCCTCCCCCCATGCACTGTGAAGGACCCTCGTTTACACATGCCCTCCTCATGGATAGGGGAACTCAGATCCAGGGATAGAGGCCCCAGCCTCCCTGTAGCCTTTGCATTTTGGAGAAAGTTTCCTGAAAACAACTTGGAACCAGCCCTGGGAAATCCGATCCCAGTTCTCTGGGCCAGATGTGCCACCAGGACTTCCTGTCCAGCTCCAGCCTGCAAAGATCTATCCTCAGTCTTGCCAGAGATCCACAGGAAGCCCCCAGCTAAGAACCTGGAACCCGGGGAGTGAGACCTGGAAGCTCTGGACAGCCCTGGTGGGCCAACAAGGAACACTAACTGTGGATGGTGCCCCAGGCCCAGCTCAGGACAGATCCCAAACAAGGATCATGCTGGCTCAGAACCAGCTCCAAGGGGATTCAGAACTCTAATGGGGCCAGATCGAACCTGGGGCCTGGGGTTGATCTGGGACCCAGACTCAGACATTGGTAAACTAACCAGGCAGATCCAGGACTACATTTGAGCCTGTTCCAGACCTGGGCCTGGAGGCCCAATCCACTTCTGACTCGGGAGAAGTCAGGAATTGCCCAGGACCGTGAAGGGGCCATGATGGTAACAGATCTGGAACCTCAGCCTGGCCAGGAGCAGGCCCTCCCAGTCCCCCAGAAAAAGGGGAGCCCACTGTCCTGGGCCTGCAGGATTTGGGTTCTGCCCACTAGCTGCACTGACGCTGCCCCTTTCTCCCTTCCCAACCTCCCCTCACCTCAGCTCCGGACATCCGGGACTTATTTAAACTCTGTTGCAAGTGCAATAAACCCGGCCCGGTGCCCCCACTGACCAGAGCTGGAATTTGTGTCCTAACCTACTCTTTCCAAACCCATCCTGGAACCAGATGGCTTGATGCAGAGGAAATGTCTGTTCACTCTTGGAGTCAGAGTATGACCCCCAGGAACTATGGAACTACTTTTTGGGTTTTAGATGAAAGAGATGAAGGAAGGGGTGAAAAGAGGACTTGACTCCTCCCCATCACCCAGCCCCACCAGATCTGGTTCCCAGCACCTCCCAGAGAGAAGAAAAAGAATCCCCCTTCTCCTTGGGTTTAAGCATTAAGGGAAGAATGCAAAGCAGGAGGTCCAAGTTGAAGGTGGGGGAAGATGGTCCGGAAGACTCACCTGGCCTTGTCTAAATCAGAATAATGAAATGGCTTGAGAGAAAAAGCCACAAAATGAAATCAGAAGAAAGCCAGTTAGGTTTTTGTTTTGTTTTTATTGCTCATTATACACTGGTAGGTAGAGAGGGTGTTAAATAGTTTACATACGTTGTCTCATTTAATTTCTCTATCAATAATCCTGTGAAGTAGGTACAATTAACCCCATTGACACAAGGGAAGATTGAGGTACAGAAAGGTTATATAACTTGCCCAAGGTCACCCAGTGAGTGCCAGAGCAGAGTCGAATCCAGCCTTGTCTGACCGTGAAAGCCCTCATTCTTAACCAACATGCCCCTAGGGTTCAGGTCTTTGAAGAGAAATCTAAGTGAGGGAGCCCCTCGGGGTCCTCTGTCTTTTCAAGGCCAGTCCTAATGCGCCACAAGAGGAAGGAGAGGGTGCTGAAATTCTAATGTTGGAGGTAAAGGTGGCCATGTCATGCTAGACCAGAATTCAGCCACCAGAGGGCAGCATAGCCACAAATTTATGGGAATTTTGGGCGGGGGAATGCCTGAAGTCCATCTCCTCTTTCCTCCACCACCCAGGCTGTTCTTACTAAGGCTTCTGCCTAGCAGTGCCTGCATCACCTTAAACATATCTCTCCTGAGAGATCAAGGCTGCTGCACACTCCCATCTGTGACTTCTTGATAATTGTACCTCAGAACTTCTTTCCAGAACCTATAAATGAAGAGGGACTGATAAGGAGGAAGAGACCTAGTAAGGCCAAGAGCCACCCAGTATTTCCAAGGATGGCAGCTGATGCATAACGAGGCACTGGGAATTCTCAAGGAAGGAAATCTCATATTCCCCTCCTTGGGGAAGGGGTGGGATTGGCCTCAGCCAAATTCCAGGGGCCAGATCTGAGATTTCTTACAGGGGCAGGAGGAAATGAGGAAGGGAAGTGAGCTGTGTGGGGTATTGGGCTGGTGTCATGGGTGTGTCTGTATAGTGCCTGTAACTGATTTTCAGAGAGTGACAAGGTCTCTCCTGAGGGTATACAATATGAGAAAGGAATTCCTTGGGCTCAGAAAGGCCACAGTTGCATCTAGCACCTGCCTTCCTGCCCCTGAACTGTACTTCTCAGGCTCTGGTCTGTTTCCCCTTCCAAATCTCCCAGCCCCTCCAGAGGATGTCTGCCTCTCATCCTGAGACTTGAGCCATCCAGAGGGACAGGAGGGTAGAGGGCTAGGAGGCCTGAGCCCTTTCCTCATCTGTTTGCAGAGATGGGAAGGAGGCCCAGAGAAGGGAACAGAGCAGCTGGGGGTGCAGGGAGGGGGAGGGGGCTCAGAAGAGGCAGCTGGCAGGCGGGAAGCTGATCTGGGGGTCTCAAGTTTCTTGACATCAATTAGAGCAACCGGCCTGGGCTCATTAGTAGCCTAGGGTGCAGGACTCATCAATAATGAATTCAACCCACACACTGCCCCGCCACCCCCCTCCCCTGGCTGCCTGCAAGGTCACCCCGCCCTCCAGCCAGCTGCCTCACCTTGGTAAGTTAAGCAACCCCTCTTCCGAGACCTCCCTAACTCAGAGTCCCGGGGGCAGTGTGGGAGGGTTGACAAGGTGGAGGGCAAAGGGGTCTCTATCACCAATCAACCACACCTACTGTTGATTCTTGTTTGTTCTGAGTCCACCAAGGAGGGGAAAAAAATGGGAAGAGGCAAAAAAGTTGGGGGTGGGGGGCAGTGCAGGAGGTAGGATGGATAACAGGGCCTGGGGAGAAGCAGGCTTTGTGATACTAGGGTTGAACAACATGGTAGCAGTGTGGAGCTGGAGTAAGAGGACCTCCTCTGACTGGCAAGGAGGACCCCCTACATTCTCTCCCAAGGCCAGATTTGGGCAGCAAGGTCACAGTCCCCTGAGATCTCTGGGCCTCTGGATCAGAACAAGACCAAGGTATTGGAACCCCCAGCATTCTCTTGCCATTGAGCTGGGACATCTTTTCTTCAAACCAGATCAGTGGGGTAAAGGCAAGAGATTGCTGAAGTCCAGAATCAGGAACTTGAACTTCTGGTACCTTAATTAGCCATCTAGCCCCACTTCCCTGCTGAACCCAGGAATGCCAGTCCTCAATCCCCCTTCCCCGACTGTTCCAAGACTCCAGTCCCGCCACCCTTCACCAACCTTTTCCTCCCTGCCTCCACCCTCCTTAAATCCCAAGCGTTCTAGTTCCCAGTCACACCTCCTTTCCCTCTGGCTGGGACTGGCCTGAAGCTGGCTGCGTGGCATTCTGGGAAGTCCTCCTGCCGCCCTCCCTCTTGGGGCAGGTATAGACAGGTCCAGGCTGTAGCAGCTGCATCTTCCCCAGACACTTCACAGACTCCCAGACTCCAGCCTCATGCTGGGGTCCCAGTTGCTCATCTCTAATCAAGTCCCCCTGTTAGTCCTTAAAATACATCCAATGTCCTGCACAGCCCCCTGACACTCTCCGCAGCCCATACATTCTGTCCTATTCCCCATCTTCCCCTCCACCTCACCAAATACCCCCACTAGTCCTCTTCAATCCAAGGTCACCTTAATGGGGAAGGCCCCAGGTTTGGGCCCTGATGCCTGGTAGATGCTCCTATCCCCACCCCAATTCAGGGCATCTGTATAGGATTGAGCCTCAGTTCTGGATTTTGTATCATCTTCTGGTTGCCCTAATGATCACAGTTGCAAGCTTCTTTTTCCACCTCATTGATTGCAATCTCTTCACTCAGAACTTCCCTAAGGACCTAGGCATTTGAACCCCAGCCAGAGATCAACCTGGGATCCATCTTCAGCCCCACATTTCACCTCTGAAACCCAGCCCCCAAACATCTTGCTCCAAAGTCAGAGAAACAAAGGACCTTAACATTCTCTGCACTCCCTCACACGGACCCTGCCCAGCCTATCACTCTGAAGAGGACCCAGGTGTCCCACCCAACCCAGGCCCCATCCCTCCCCAGAGTACTTAGGCATCCCTCACCCCATATCAGCTCATGACCAGACTTCCTGCCCTCAGACTCAGCCCTTCCCGGGAACCCAGGCATCTTAGTTCCCAGCTTCCTCCATCACTTCACACCGCCTTGTAGATGTGTTCCCCCAGCCCTGGCTGCAGTGGGCTGCAGTGACACCGTAAATCCAGGAGACCCGGGGCAGCAAGTGGGAGAGAAAGCGGGAGGGGCAAGGAGCCGCCAAGACGTCCCCTCATAGAGCCCAGGGTGCCCGGGTTCCCCCTCCTCCCGTCTTCACCTGCTGCGGGCTCCGCCCCCGCTCCGCCTGGGCCGGCCTCTGCTCCTCCCCCGACTCCTCCCCCCGTACCCCCAGCCCGGCCAGAACGGCCCCCGGGACAGAGCGACGCGGAACCCCGGGCGCCTGGGTCCCCAGCATGATCCTCGGTGAGTGGGCTCTGCGGCTCTGGGCTCCGGGGCTCCTGGGTCCCTCTCAGTAGGTAACCCCCCCAACCTCCCGGCACCGCGGTGACTGCGGCCGCCAGTCAGCAACCGGTTCCCCCTCCCCCTTCATCTGGCTTCACATCTGGGGGTCTCTTCTTCCCCTTTTCCCCAAGCTGCCGCTTCTTTGGGTAATTTAGGGATCAGTGAAGGGGAAAGCAGAGCCGAGTGAGACCCCCGCCCCATAATGAGGACATTGCGTATTCATGAGGCTCATGAATATTATATGACGGTCTACGAGAGGTTGGGGGAGAGGGCTGATCTTGGCCTGGTGGAGTTGAGGGAAAGGTTCTGACCCGGCCCCCCACACACACACACACACACGCCCTCCCCCACCCTTAGCTCAGACACTCCGACATCCTTCTGGGCCCAGGATAAGAGGGAAAGGAGGAAGTGGGGGGCGGGCGGGGAAAAGATGGTGGGTGTAGCTTCGAGGTGTGTGTGGTGGGAGGTGGGAACCTGAGGGCCGCAGATAAGGGGGCTGGGGAGAAGCAGGGGTGGGAAGCTGTCCATCCCAGGGCCCCTGCGGCTCCGATCCTGCCTCCGCAGCCATCCTGCCCCAACACGCCGGGACCTGCCCCGCTCTCTCCTTGCTCTGGCTGCCTGGGCCCTTCCTTCCTGGCTTCCTTCTTCTTTCTTCCCCCACCCCCACCCCTGCCTTGGGCGGGGGGCACCAGGGGACAAGGGGCAATGGAGAGAGTAAGGAGGGGGAGGGGAGCCCCCGCGGGGCTCTGACAACCCTTCAGCCACAGCCACCCCATCCTCATGACCTACATCGGAAGGGAGCCCCGGGTTGGGGGAGGAGAGGGACTAGCTGTGCGCCTGGACTCCTCCTCAGCTCCAAGGGCTCCAGGCCCCTGCCTCCACAATAGTCTCAGTTCTGCTCTGTCCTCTGACCTCTGACCCCTGCCCTGGTTAGGCCGGTTCCTGGGCCCTGCTTATGGTGGGAGACCCCACCACCACCACCCACAGCAGGACCTCACACTCTTTACCTCCCACTGGGGACACCTGGCTCCACGCTGGTGCCCCAGGGCTTGCCTGGCTCCTGCCTCAGCCCTCTGCTGGGTCCCTCTGCTGTTTGCCTCCTTGGCTCTTTTGCTTCCCTTCTTTCCTTTGACCCCTGTTGACTTCCCACTAGTGGTCTGTCTCCCCTTCTGCCCTCCTTTCTCCATCTCTTTCTCTCCCCTTCCTGTATCTCATCCCTCTCTCATCATGTTACACACTCCATCATAGTTATTCAATGAATGAGGGAACAGAGGCATGAATGACTGGTTGACTGCCTCCCTCTCACGAGTATCTCCAGCAAAGAAAAAACTC